CCCCAAAACCCCAAAACCCCAAAACCCCAAAACCCCTCTCTCACATAATATTATCGAAGAATATTCAAATAGGCAAACCTAATAAATGGATTAGAATAAAGCAATCAAAGTTTAGGTTGCCAAATATTCAGAATGGTCATAGTCTTCCATAAATTCGTCAAACTCATTTGTAGTATCTGGCAAAATGTTGAAGAAAATAATTGCAAGAAATATTCCTCCACTAAAGGCGTTAGCTATTCTTAATACATCTGCACTCTTCTTACATTAAGAGATTACTGTGGAGAGTATTCCTGCCACAAAGGCAATGATTACAATAAGGATAATAAAGATCACTTTAATTTTGGAAATTTTGTATTTTCTAAAACATTTATATATCCATTTGATTCTGGACTGATCTTTGCTGTGGTAAAAATAACTTAATTTTAGAGGACCAGTAAGAACTTTAGGTTGGTACAGCAAAAACCTCATTTATTCATAGATTGGGAAATAAGCAAATGGTTTCCAAGAGAATTAAACTTTAGTTAACCCAGCAGAGAAGCCTCAGAATTATTTTTATCATCCCTCTCTATATATGACTATACCTGCTGCCATTTTAAGATAATAATTATGTTAATTTTTTATCCTTATCTTCAAAAGCATCTCGTTTAAATACAAGATTAAGGATAGGCGTGAGGTTCTAGAGTTAATCAAATATAGAGAAGAATAACCACTCAGGCCTCTCCACAAAGATTCTGAAGATTTGGCATCCTTCTCCATGACTTGATGGTCTCTCTAGATCTCTGTATTATCCATATAAGGTTCAGAGAGGCTCTTTGGATCATAAAAAAGGACGGCAAGCCTGTAGAACCTTTATGGAGGCACTGGGTTATCATCCTCATTTATATTTGATTAACCCAGAGCCTCAATTTTTTTCAATAATCTACCATTTATACATCAATGGTATAGAATTATAGTTAAATTCCTGAAAACATCTTCAAAATAAGCTATCCCTCAAAATAGACATAAGTTAGAACATTTTCAATATTTTTATTCTTAAGCGGGGTTTTGGGGTTTTGGGGTTTTGGGGTTTTGGGGTTTTGGGGTTTTGGGG